CAGGTTGTTCCACGTGTAAGTCGAAGGTGTGCGTGGCGCTCCGCGCTGCGGACTATACATATCTAACTGTAGAACGGTCAGTTGGACCACAGGTAAGTTAAAGTAGACAACCTCCTACCCACCAGTTCAGGTTTTTGGGAAATTCAAGAAACCTGTCATTTGAAAATCGGGTTTTTTCGCAAAAAAGGTAAATGATAATACAGATTAGGAAAATCTACAGATTTAAATCAACAGCACTTCTAAATACCGCAAAATAAAAATGTATTTAGCATTTATTGAAGTATATTTCACTGCGTGTTCTAATTTCCCGCCCATAGAACCGTCTTCATAGGAAAACATGCAGGATGTAGGGATTAATGAGTGAGGCTACACAAGTTACATTTGTCTGAAGTTATTTCCCAGATGCCAAGGTTGACTCCACTGGCTGTTCACAAATGCTTATAGCCGAGGACACAGTAAGTGACATCGTATGTATGCCCAACTGCTATTCTCAACTGCGACTACTTACGCAGCATGAAACTAATTCAAGACTTTTTATGATTCTGATATAATAAGTATTGTAAGGACAAGTTGCGGGTGACCAAAGAGACTTTTTCCATGTATCGTGACAGTTACATCTGATAAAGATATAAGAAGCAACAACCAAAATACCCATCCTCATCCAAGCCCAATCTGGGAGTATATCCCCATATTCCTCCACATGTCAACGGGGGAAACCGGAGATCGGAAAACCAGTTTCCTTTTAAATCTGAAGATTAATAGCACAATTGTCCGAGGTCATTTGGAGATATTCATATTTGAAAATAGGTTAACAATCTTATTACCCGAAAACAAGCCATAGGAAACATACGAGCAAAAAGCCGTAAACTGCACACCATATGCCACGGAAGGTGGGCTAATACGTTTCCACCTTAATCTACGTGTGGCTACGAGATTTTTCTCGCAGGATTTGGCGTGTTTCCACTGAATGACTTAGTATTTTTACTCCGTCTTCGATCGAAAGTATTCGCATATACATAATTGACAATTCCTCCGTTCATAAACAATATTAAACATTACTGCCTGGGTTGGTCCCCAACGGTTGACGCCCTTTCCGTTGCATAAACCAATCCCTGTCTGCGCTGGAAATCCTATATAATAGAAGCCTCAGCAAATGCCCAAATCTTTTGTTGGTGTGAGCATTTCTAATAATGGCCGGCTTGTCAACCACTGCACAAATCATAAAGTTCGTCGTTGTCGCTTCCAATATCGTCGCGTTTGTAAGTCTCCCTCTTTCTCCTATATACTGCAATCTATTTTGCTCGACTATTTATCGCTTCAAACTACTTAGCAGGTGAAAAGGTCTGTAGAACAGTAAAAAATTTATTTAAATCAACGGTAGCGCACCAACATAAACACTTCAGCACTTGACATCTATTTTCAATACAACACAGGCCTTAGGAACGGCCATTAATATGACCATTGTAGAACTAAATGATCGAAATTGCCAACTGATATTTCAATATTCTGTTACCCTGCCTAACGCAATGCCTGCTGGTTTAAGGGATCCCTGCTCATTGTTCATTACCAGTTACAGATAATAGGTTAGGGTGATTTTAATTCATACTGTATCCAGGCTTATTTAAAGAATATTGGGTAATTTGATTTACGTTAGCACACAGGGCCAAACACAAGTCTTTGAAATAGCAGCAAGATGAGCACTTTACTGGAAGGTGGCCTAACAGCACAAATGTATTTGGAAAATAGGCCATAAACTGCTCATTTTACACCAAGTGGGGCGGACTGATTTGTTTCTGCCCTAACCCATGCGTCCCTACTATATCTTCCTTTCAGGATTTGACGCATAGCATACGCACTCAGACTAAACTGGTATTCCTGTCCTGCCTTAAATTGAATGTATCCCCGTAAACCTGAATGAAACTTTCTGTAGACCAGACACTTTTAACGCATTACTGTGCGGGTCGATCCCTATCGGTTGACGTCCTTTCTGTAGCACAGACTAATACTTGTCTGTGATGGGAAGCATATATAAGAGAAGGTTCATAACTTGCCAAAGGCCTTTGTTGGTGTGAAGATTTATTATAATAGCGGGGTTGTCAACTACTTCGAAAGAAGGAAAGCCGTCATCGCAGCTTGCAATATCCTCTCCCTTGTAGGTTTCGATCCCACACACAGCAATCTATTTTACTCGACATTCTAATTCATACCCTCTCGAGACTTTATTTCAAAGCATATTTGTGCATGCGCATAGGGCCATGAACGTCAGCTTGAAGCAGCATGAGGATGCGCGCTTTACGGTAGGGTGGGCAATCGGTCCAAAACTATCGGCTACATAGAAGATATTTCCTGAATTTAAACGCATCTCTTTTATTACCTTCTCCCATCAGGTCTTTGGTTTGGCTCTCGTTATCCTGGGAATTCTTGACCTGGTCCAATTTGACGGCCCACTCGGAGCCGAACTTCCGATAATTTCGACCGCTGTTGCGACTGCCGCCATTGGACCTGGTCTTTTCATAATTGCTGTTGCGTTCTTTGGTCTATATGGAGCACTTCGGGCTAATGCAAATGTTCTCATTGCGGTAGGTGATCGACTTTCAGTGAATTCAATTCATCTCCTTTTTAGTATGCGGTTATTGTCCTGCTGATCGGTTGCTCTACACTTTGCTTTTTGATATATGCCTTTGTCCAACGTAATACGGTCAGTTTTTTTCCTTACAATACTAATTTACTAATCACTCCTCCCACTAGATTATGTTTACTGTTGACGATATCATTTGAGCGTTTGTTAGCGAAGGCAAGATGAACTACGGTACGAGTAAAAAGTGGACTACTATCACTGACTGGATGGAGGGCACTGTAAGTTTATTGCATGGCCAAGCATTTCCGCTAAATTGTGCGTAATCTTATCTAAGATGCCCTATGTTGTTTACTTCCATGCTCAGTTCGATTGCATCGTCAGAGGCACACCAATACAATTTCGAAGCCAACCTATCCGACTCATCGAATATAATAAGAGCATACCGGTAAAGCTTTATCGATTAAAGTTTTTTTCTAAATATTATTGGACTAAAGTCAATTAGCAGACCTAAATAATTGCCTCTGAATGCAGTTATAAAAGTGTTGGGTGCAAACAGTATTGCCAACCCTTCTTACTATAAACAAATGAAAATTGATATTTTGATAAACAATACCTTTAAGGCTTTAGTATTTCCTTCATAGATGTGTGTCCAAGGTGATTCTTAAAGTTGCTCAGCAATCTATATGTTAAGACAGTCGATTACTCGGTTGCTAATATTACGGTCGTTTCGACTACTAAAATTATCTACAACTTACATCTGATAATTAAAGACCCGCTTGTGGACGTAGGGATCTGGTTTGACGTCGTCGCTTGATCGAACTCTTAAATGTGAGAAAGGGGACAACGACGACCGCTTTCAACCGAAATAAACTGCTGCCAGCACCTTCTTGGTCTCTGTTGCATATTATAATTCGACAGTCCTTATTATCGAGAAATCCCACGACCTAATGCAATTTACAGCACCGTCTCCTCTGCCGTAGTGATATTGAACTGTAATATTGCTGTGTGTTTTGCTTTCTGCTTTAGGACTGCGAAGATGCTATCGTGCATGCGATTGAGGCCGAATTGGGCACAATTGGAGGATGTCTAATAGGCATCACAATCCTCCGTTTCTTTGCCTCCACTATGGGTTTTGTGCTTGCTCTTAACATTAAAGCCTACGAAAATGTGTAAATTTTGGATTGGTTATTTTGGTGGCTGGGGAATTAAAATATATGATTTACTGGGTTCCATTTATTTTT